CTCTCCTTGCTCGGTCCCAAGTGACCCCAACGGAGCTTAGGGCACGTCAAGCTGACGTGCTGTCCCCAATCAGAAACACAATCACTTAAGCTCCTCCTACAGTGTCCCTAAAGACAGACCGCAGGCCAACAGTGCCTTCTGAGCCCTCGGGTCGAATAAACTAAACCCAGAGAGGGCTGGAGACTCACTGAGGGGTGTCAAGCGGGAGCCAGGACGGGGCCGGCCGAGCGGCCCAGAACCCACACGGCCCCAGCAACAAGCCCAAAGAGCCAAGCCAGAGAAACGCCTCACCGCCTAATTCCCCCGAAACTCCACGACCACAATTCAAGCCTTGCTCACAGCAGAGCAACAGATGGTGACGTCCAGGGCCCACGAAGGAGACCCCAGAAGCACAGCGCCTGGAAGAAGCACTCACAGAATCACGTGGCTTATTTCCACAGCAAAGAGTGATAAAATGATCTTGCCTCCAATCACTGCAGAGAGCCCAAGGAGCAAGAATGCAATCCAGGAGATGAGAGATGAAACGAAACATCGTGAAAGCGCCTAGGAATCTCCTAGATGCAGCCAGGCAGCCTGGGCTCCCAGACAGGCGAAGGCTCGGTGCTGTGGCCTGGCCCTCTGCTGCCCCTCTGCTCCCCGAAGGCAAAGCACTGGGGGGAAAGGAACAGGTGGACGGCATGGGACCCTGACGAGACGAGCCTGAGCCGGCCTCCCGTCCAGCGCCAGCCTGTGCTGGGCTTCTCCAGTCGAGAGTTTACACAGCTGGGAAATGAAATCGGATTGCAAGCCACTTAGGCCACGTCCACCTACACTTTCCTTCTGACAATTGGTAGGGCACCTCACAGCCTGTGACGCCACAGCAAACAGCACAGGACCTCCCAGTTCAGCCACTTTCAAGGCCCAGTAGTTCTATGATCGCTGTCTAAGCTGGTGCTCCAAGAGCTGGGGCCACCGCCCCCTGTGACCAGGGAAGCGGGCAGAAGACAAGAAGGAACTGGATTCTCAGCGCTGGCTGCAGGTCTGAGAGGCTGACCAGAGCGATGAGGCAGGAAGAGGGAGGTGAGGGGGGTCCACGCTCCAGAAGCACTGGCCCTCGGGGCACTCACTGCGCCCCAGGGGTTCCCAGGAAACAGTAGGCCACCCTCTGTCTGCTCTGGTGCTGCTCGCGGCACCGCCAGGGCCCCCAGCTTTCACAATCCGCCCTTTGAGCCAGCTGGCAGCTCAGCCCGAGTCCACGCAGGACCTAAGGCACATGAGGGGGAGGCGCGGGTCCCCGTCACTGGCTGAGCCCTGCCACATTCACCCCTCAGGAAACTGCCCATTTTCAGAGCCCGCGTCTGGAGAACGAGTCACCGAGTCACCACGCTTAAAGGTGCACCTGTATTCTAGAACCATCTTCGATTCCCTTCCTGCCTCCCCAGTCACTTGCACTTGATAAAAGCAGATGAGCCTGGAGTATTAGAAAACTGATACTGACATCCGTCAACTTGGTCGAGGAATTTCTACAGCCGGTGTGGCAGGTGGCCCAGGCCCTCGCAAGTGCCGTCTCCACCCCTGTGCACCATGGCCAGGCGAGCAGCCTGGTGGAGGCGTATGACCCTGGCTCTGGACGCAGGATGCAGGACGCAAGGACACAGTGGTCTCGCAGTCCCCGTCTGAGGGGCCCCGCGCCGCCCCGTCCCACACAGATGCCCTGTGTGGTGCGGAGGAGCCACAACCTGGGCGGAGCAGGAGAGATGGGGGTGAGCTCCCTGACGCTGCAATGTGAGCCCTGGGACCTGAGCCACTGACAGACACGTCCCTTCTCTGCGCCATCCCGACGACACCGGGCTTCACCAGGTACATCCAAGCCTGGCCCGAAGGCCTGGTGCCCTCCATGTGCCCCAAACAGTAAAGCCCAGCGCCCGCCGAGGAGGCAGGGGTCCCAGGAGAGCAGAGGAGCAGGTGGCGCTCAGAGCAGCGGGCTGCATGTCCTCTGAGGCCCTTTCTGTTCTCCCCAGACTGCTGGCCGCCAGCATTCTCCAGGCGCTGGGCTAGTGCAAAGCCATACTATAAAAACTCAGGGGTTCTAGGAAGGCCTGCCTCAGGAATTGGACATGAAGTGAGATCGAGAGTACCCCAAGACTGATGACTGATGCAGACTGGACCAGCTCAAGGGAGAGCAATGTCACCCCAAAAGAGGCAGCACAGCTCTGAACTGTTCTGGGCACACTTTGGAGTCTTTGCCAGGTCCACAGCCCCTGTACGGAGCTGCCCCGATCCACTGGGGTGGCCCTCGGAGCCTCCTGTGGACTTGGGGCACCCACCCACCCCAGCCGCAGACCCGCGCGCAGGCTGCCACCAACTGGACAAGTGGACGCCTGACCAACGCTGACCCGATCCGACGCCTTCTCCCAGAAACTTGGGGAAAGCTCGTCTGTTCCTGCTGGTGGCTAGGTCCCAAGGCAAAGCCCCAGGAGCGGGAGGCAGGCGGGCAGAGAGGGTGGGCTCAGGGGACGTACACGGGCCATGAGCCTGGGCTCCACACGGCTTGGGGTGCCACGTCATGAGGTCCAGGGTGGGGAGAGCGTCCTCCTATGAGGGCCACTCGGTGGCTCAAAGGAGCTCGGAGGAGTTCTGTCCCTTTCAGTAGCTCCGTGGGTGGCTGAACAGGGCTCCCAAAGATGTCACCGTCCTAATCTCCAGAGCTCTAATCCCCAGAACTCAAAAATGCGTTACCTTCTACAGCAAAAGGGACTTCAAAGATGGGATTAAGGTAAGGATCTTGAGCTGGGGAGATCAGCCTGGGTTATCCAGGTGGGCCCTACACGTGTGATCACATCGCGTAAGAGAGAGGCAGAGAGATTTCCGACACAGAGGAGGCGGCACTGTGACACAGATCACAGGGATGCAGCTATAAGCCAGGGAATGCGGCGGCCGCCAGAAGCTACGAGGCCAGGCCCGGGTTCTCCCTGAGAGCCTCCAGAGGGGTGCGGGGCAGCCGTCGCCACCTTGACTTGGGCCCAGATTAACCCACTTCAGGCTTCTGCTCTCCAGAACTGTGAGAGAACACATTTGGTTGTTTTAAGCCATAGAGACGGAAGTGCTTTGTTACAGTAGCGGCCCCAGGAAAGCCATACGAGTACCTCGACCAGGACAGAAGCCTGACTTTGTGCGGGTGGCCAAAGAAAGTGGGAGAAAGGGGTCAGGGGGCCACAGAACTGCAGGAAACAAGAGAAGAAACAGCCCGCCAGAGTCCGCGAGTCTTGGCCACTTCGGCCCCGACGGCCCAGCTCGCCCTTGTATGAACGAAATGTGAAGCGCATCGGCCTCATCTCTTGAGACTTTCCAGAAAGGGCCAGGCAGTAAACATTTCCAGCTTCACGGGACAGCATGACCTCTGTTGCAACCACGCTGGAAAGCTGCCACGGATGGAATGTAAACGACCAGGCGCGTTGGGCGCCAGTAAAACTAGTGTCCAAAAACAGCCGGCCGTGGTTTAATGGCTCCGTTAGAGACCGTGCCCCTTTCTGACTGTGCTGCCAACCAGCATCTGGTCTCCGCATGGGTCTCTATGAGGAGGGCCTGCACTGACTATGGGAAGGGGAGAGCCATCTGGTGTCCATCTTGGCCACGGTCATGGTCGTTAGCATGGAGTCAGCCTCAAGAGGCAGATGGCCTTCAATCGTTTGTTCTGTCATTCACTCATATTGACTGAGGGCCTGACCAGGCGCAGGCGCAGGCCCAGGGGCTGACGACACAGAGACTGAGCCAGCCTAGGTTGTTAAGGATGCTGAGGCCGAAAACCTGCCTTGGACCAACACTCATGTGTCACGTTGCTTTCAAACATGCTCGGAACTGTTCCTGTCTGCCCCGCGAGGCCTTTAGGCAAAGCAGGGCAGTGGCTCAGCAGATACTGACTGTCCCCACAGGACCAGGAGGGCAGGGCCGGAGGCCTACTGCTTGCCTGAGGGCTCCCATGCAGCCCAGCAGGGAACTGGAGCAAACAGCCTCAGAGATGTAGAAAGTGCTGCCCCCTGGCACTGTGGCACACACGGGAGGAGGAAGTGACTAGCAATTAACAGGCTCATCCAGTATCTGGGGCAGGGAAGGCGGGCAGACCGCCCTCTGCTGTGGGCCCTCAGGGCAGCTCTCCAGGAGCCTCAGGATCCTTCTCAATGCACTGCTCCAGCCACAGCCTACTGGAGTCACTGGTGACACTCACCGCTGAAGGAGTGTGCAGCTCACCAGCCCAGCCCGCCCAGTCCAGGGGGCTAGGAAGTGACTCAGGGATGGCTGATACTGGAAACAATCTTGGTGACTCAGGCCCAGTACCAGGCCGGAACCAGAGCACCCTGGAGTGTAGATGGGGCAGGGCTGCCCCCTTCTCCCCTCAGCCGCACATCCGACCCACCCAGAGGGCCCTTGAGCCAGCCTTCACCGCAAACATGCCGCCATGGGTGGCATGACAGTTTGCTCAGGCCAGGCCCGTCTGTTTGGACTTTCTACCTTCTGGAAACAAGGGGATTCAGGAAGGCCGCCCCAAGAATGCTGCCCGGGGGCGCCCCGGGGCCTGAGGAAGGGCTTACCCAGGTAGTAGAGGCGGTGGGAGTGGGGGCCGGACTCGTCCGTCTTCTGCACGAACTGGAAGTCGTGCGGGGCCTTGCTGACCACCATGCCCGAGCTCCTGCGGCTGCCGTGGATGATGGCCCGGAGGCCCTCCCACGAGTGCTTCTGCACCTGGAAGCGCGTGGCCGGCTCCTCCATCTCGACCGCGTCGCCCCGGTCGCACACTGGCGCCCCGGTGGCCATCCTCTCCGCCCCCTCGGAATTCAGCGAGAAGCTGTGAGGAGGAAGGTATGGGCGAGATGACTGGGAAGAGGAGCGGTACCCTGCGCTCCACACACGCCGCCTCCTCATCGCACTCCGACTCCCCCAGCCAGGCCCACGCCGGCTGCCTCCCTGCCCCCCGAGTATTTCTCAAACCGCTCCACGTCTCTCCAACAGCAAAACCAAACGCTGAGATCCGAGCCACCCTCGCCTCTTGGCTGAGTGACTGCCACCATCTACGGGTCAACTCTGCGACACCCAGCGCGAATGTGATCCCATCACTCAGGATCCTTCCTTGGTTTTCCACAGCCCCCAGGGTAAAATCCAGTCCTCGCCTCGGCCTTCTACGCTCTGTCCTCTGACTTCTGCCAGACTCTCAAGCCTCATCCCCTGTCATCGCTATGGCTCAGGCAAACCGGCCTTCTCCTG